AACAGGACCAAACCTGATGGGATGCAATAAGCTTGCACTTTGCTGATGATGTCGACCTCCCCTCTGATGTTAACTTTTATGTGTATGTGTATTACAAATGTAAATATGTTCATTAATTTTGAGGCTGGCTACAGTATCACATCTGAATACATTCCGCACACCCTTCTTGAAATTCGATGCTTACGTACCCTTTCGTTGGTCTTCTGTTGAACAGAGAAGTAATCTCTTTTATAGTGTTACTTAACTGTGCATTGAGTGTATAGAGTCCTAGGAACAGCATGATCCTAAAGTTGCAAAAAGAAAGATTTAGAAAATCTGATTATATAGTCACACTTTTATGCCTAAGACAATACTTGGGGATGATAAGTGTGAAACAAGATGGGTCACCGTTGAAAAAATAGAACTACTTTTGGAAAAGCTTAAATAGCACTGGTATTTGAAACATTTCTAGATGGCCAAGACTTGCCAACAATCTCTGAAATACTACATGCAAAGAGTCTTTCCTTTGTGTAAGTTGTTAGGCATTGCTGGTCCTTACCCCAGAAAACTAGATTACACACACATACTTTCCCAAAATGTGACCCTTACACCTGAAGACCAGGAATTATACATATGTGTTATGTGTCAGTAAATGGAACATTGTTGCAAGGGGTGTCTAAGAAAGCAAGCTTGAGTGTTCTCATTTTCCATATGGGGAAATCGATGGAAAGTGGGAACCTGGGGGGTGGGTGGAGTTCCAGGGTAGAGCGGCCAACTACTAGAAAAGTGAAAGGCAAGTGCCGGGCTCGGAGACGACTTTTTGCCAGCCTCAATGAAGCAGTGTGCGGGTGATCATCCTTTCCTGGAAACTTAAAGCAACCTGAAGGAAGAGGCAGCGGCTTCATCGCATCCAGTTGGTTAATCCCCTCTCTGTCAGTCATTGGTGTATGATCTGAATAGACTATAAATTCACATTTCTGGAGCCACATGGTCAAAATAGCACTTTATATTCAGTGTGAAATTCTTAAAATGAAACCCAGCTGGCAGATGGGAAGGATTCTGGGGGGTGGGGGAAAAGAGGAGGGGAATATTGGGTGTGCAAGGGGCACATGATTTTCCAGAGAGTTTTTTTTTTTTCTTTATGCTTTGTGCAGATATAGGAATATTTTTAAACATCTATGATACAGCGCAAATGAATTTCTTAAACCTGAACCATAAGAGTCTAATTTGTAATATTTCATAAGAATCTAAAACCATTAAGATAGTTATGCAAGCCATTCCAAATTCTTGCCTGCAAGAATACAATGATTTGCTCATTTAGGGAACTCTCTTCAGTTCTTCCATGAGTGCTAGTTCATAAATTGCATCTTTCAGTGCTTTAAATAAGTCTTTGGCTTAATAACCAATTTTTAAAGAGAGAAAGAGCGAGAACAGCTAGTCTAGTTCACTTTTATCTCCGTCTCCTGTTCAGAACTTCTGCCCATTATGCTGTTCACGCTTGTTCCATTTCCTTCTCTTTCCTCAGGTTGAAATGGGAAGTGTCCTGTGTCTTTGTGCCTCCCAGGGTCAGTGGTCACGTCAGAACCAGGCAAACTCCATTCCAGAACACAGTGCTCTTGGTTACTGACCCAAGCCTTGGATCCAGTGCCCGTAGGGCATTCCAGACGTCCCCACAGTTTATCACATCAGCTTGCCCCTTCTGATAGCACCGAAAAGCCGTTCAACCTGGGACCAGGTTACTACAAACTCAGTGTCTGTGACTTCATATGAGAAGTCAGGATTCAAATATTTTAGCAGCTGTGAGAGATTTCAGCTCGCCCGAATGTTTTATGAAAACCGTGTGCTGCATTTAACTTGCTAAGAAGTGCACAGGTTATGCGTGTTGTATGTCTGGATGAGAACCTGGAGTCAAATAGGCAAGAATTTATTTCTCCTCTCCTTTTTTTCTCTAGAGCCACATCTTTCTGTCATGAACTCACACCTAAAATTTACAAACCCTGTTTGAGGGCTTTGAAGCCTGGATCCTCTTATGTTAAACGATAAAGACAGGGTATCAGGTAATTCATTCACTAAAAATAAATTTGTGACACACAGAGGTAAATACCATTTTACATACATCCTTTTATTTTATTATTGACACTTCTAGTTAAAAATAGACAGCCTGAGCCATCGTTTGTCAGGTCTTGTCATTATATGATTTTTATTTTTAAATACTATGGTAGAATTGCCATCTTACTCATGGGTATGTGATAAAGGTATAAAGAAACAGATAATAACTTCAAGGTAAAATAAGAGTGTTCTTCAGAGCACTCACATTGCTTGTTCCCTAGAGAGCTGTAAGCGCAGGGAAATAGAAATCCAGGGCATCGGCTAAGAAAAGTACTTTATAATTCTGTTTGCATTTCTGAGTCTAGAAAATAGGGAGTAAGTTCTACTTAGAAAATATTTTACAGATACATTCAAAATAACATAATGTTTATTTTGTTAAAAGATACTGTCTTTGACAACAAAGTATCCAGTTTTAACCATAATGTGAGCTCAGAGATGTGAAGGGGTGGTACTTGAGACTGCAGGGGTGTGGGTATCAATATGGATTTGAGTATTTTCTTTATTTATACTCTGCTTTCTTTCATGAAAGGATTTGAGGTGATAGACACTAGTATTGATTCTGACAGCGGACATGATTTTATGTAACACTCTCAACTTCCGACTGAAGTAGGTGTTAATGACATCCCCCTGAGAAGGCTTTCGATTCAGACAGAATAAAAAGTGGGATTTGAGACTTAGAAGCCCCCTTATCTGACCTGATCTGAACTGGTAGTTGAACAATTAATAAAGAGTTGGCCAATGTCTTGTCATTAAAAACATAAAGTAAATGTATACCCTAAATAATTTAACTTAAAACATACAAATGGTACTAATCTTCTGATATTGGGCCAGTGCCTTTTCTCTGAGTACGTGGCCACTAATCAGAGTTCTGTATCCTATTTTTTGCACAAAATACAGCCATTATCTATGATTTTCAGTTCCCATTTCTTTAAAATAGAACCATAAGATAAAGTAAGATGGTAAGTTAAAGACACGTGGGAAGCAATTCACAACGATAGTTCTTGATGGTTGTCTCCCCTAAATCTGATTTGACAGCAGTTTGTTTTTGGTGAGTTCTTTGAACACATTCCACCTAGTGTTTCATAGAAACAGAAATTCTCTTCTCAACTTCCTATTTCATCCACTGATGCCATATTGAATTAAATGACTTAATACAGTAACAAATACGGTTGCTTTCAACAAGAACCGTGAAAGAGCCCAGCAGCAGAGGCGCGCAGACGTGCCGGGGAGGTGCCCCGCTGTGAGCATCAGGTGAGCGGCCAGCTTCATCTGGGGCTGTGCCCACAGGGCGTGGGCATTCGTTGTGGAGACAACGTCCATCATTATCTTGAACCTGGGCAATGAAGAGTCGGTTAAGTCTAGGTGATTAAGTGGAGGTTAATTGAAGGAGCCTTTATTGTAACTGTATGAAATTTTGTTTTGAACCCAGCTAAAGATTTGTCCTTACCTGCAACTGCTTGATATTTAATTCACATCATGCCCTCAGTCTGTCTTTTGGATCAGCTCTATGGCAAATGTTATGATTGCCGTGGGGCCTTCTAATTTTTCACGGCCCTTATTCCATCTGACTTCACTTAGTCACTGATGCACCTACATGATACCTGTCGGTCTCTTCCAAGTAAGCTCCGTGGGGCCTGGGACGTCTGTTCACCTTTGTGTCCCCGGGGCCTGAAACAGTGAATGTGTAGTCAGCGGTAGGAAGAGGGCAAGGTGGCTGTTGATTTGGTGCCTTTCTTTTAGCCCAGTTGAATGTTTTGATTTGTCCCCACCAGGATCAATTGATTTCTACTTTGAGCAAGAAGGGAGGACAGAGAGTTGTACCCTGACATAGCTCCTGGTGTACTTTCTTAATCCGGTTCCTAAATCTCCCCCTGATTCCAGGGAGGGAGCCTGATGGTTCATGCTGATAAACCATAGATTGAAGCATTGGCGGGGCCTTTGTTCTTTGACTTTGCCTTAAAAGATCAGTTCAGAACAGTTTCTCAACCTCGGCATTATTGACATCTCAGGCTAGATGGTTCTTTGTTGGGGGTGGGGAGGGCAGGGGCGGGGGAGCTGTCCTGTGCCTTGTAGGATGTTGGGCAGCATCCCTGACCATTACCCACAAGACACCTGCAGCAAACACCGTGCCCCCTGCTCCCCATTGTGACAGCCAGAAATACCTCCAGACATTGCCAAATGTCCCCTGAGGGGTATGGTCACCTTTCCCCTCCGTTGAGAACTAATGCTGTGGACTAGTCCTGGCTTGACAACTAGGACACGAGGCCACGCTAACAGTGCTGTGCTAAATCCAGTCAGTGGCTTTTGGAACCTTCACTCCTGGTGTTTTCTTTATATCTGATTGTAATGTTCTCCAGACTTGTCTTTCATGGGCTTTATTCTAAGTTCAACTAGTCCTGTGTGGGTTTTTTTGGCTAAAATTCCTCAGGACGGATTACCACTCAGCTTTGCTTTCCTCAGACTGCCTGCAAGCCTCTTTCCAAGCTCATATTTCTCAGTTGCCAGGACATTAGGCTGCTGGCCGTATTGCCAGTAGGAAAAGAAATTCTCTCCCTGTGACTAACAACATGGCAGTTTGTTCGAAGGCCATTTGTTACCTGTTCCCCTTGCTCAGATGTGTTATTGAGGTGGCTGTCAGTTTTTTCTGCCTTTTCCCCCGTCTCTCCACGCCTTCCTGTTTTTCCTTTTCCTCCCAGTGTTTCCATGGTGGCTCCTCGCTGGAGCCAGAGGACAAACTGCTGACAGGAACATCCCTTGAATATCTCTGCATCTGGACAGGGCCGTTGGCACCCTCCATTGGCGGCTCAGCAATGCGTGGCTTGCCATATCTGTCTCCTGTTTAAGGCCCAAGAATTTGAATCTGTCCCAACATGTAAATGTTGTCGTTGTTAGGACAGATAGTACCACAAGGCCAGTATTAAACATGTTTATTTGGGTTCCATATATTAATGTTTTGATTTGTTACTACCACTGTTGCCTGCCCCACACCTCCCAGCTGCAAGACTGAGATAGGGGATATATAGTCTATTACAAAAGCCAAATAAGCTAGAATATATAAACTATTTTTAACATACTTGTGTTTTTAACAAGCTTTAAACCATTGTTGCAACTTCTTTTTTTCCTACTATTTCCTAATATTTTTTCCTAATATTTTTCCTAATATATAAGTCAAAGAATCCCTTGAGTTGACCAACTTGTGGTTTCGTGAAGGGTACCAATATTGAACGAGCAGAAAGAAGAGTTAGTCCTGTCAAAATCAAAGCATCCTCTTCTGGTTGTCTGATCAGGTCACAACTTATTGAAGCATATTCGTGGCACGGTACCTTGTATAACAGAAAAAAGCTAAATATGAGACACAGCCAAAAAGCTATTTCAAAATATGCAATAGTGTTTTAAGAAAACTCGAAATATGAAACAGTATGGTGATTGTCGTTCATGGGTCAGCTAACATCCAGTTTCCTCAAATGGTTTAGTGAAGTAGGTCTTTGGGGGATGAAGGCTGATCACTGTGAGGCAGATGTTGGATTTGAAAACTACCAGGCTCCGGGTCGTCTTGCTCTCGCGCCATTTTGCAGAATCACAGGCTGTGGCGAAAACTGGTGCAGTTCCTAACACAAAAGCATGTATTCTCAGCACGGGAAGGTCCTCAGAGCCCATCTACCAATCCCAAGCTAAGCATTTAGCAAGGCAGAGGAGGAATAATCTAAGTGTGTTGATCCTTTTCAGTGACTGAGGCAGACACAACTGTTGGTAATTGATGGGGTTTTTCCCCCAATACCTCTTAACCTCAAAAAGTGTGGAATTCCTATCCTCAGCCTGCACTTTACAATACCAAGATAATCTACCCACTCTCCCACCCAGCCAGCCATTTCAATATGCACAGTTAATGAGTGTTAAGTTTAAAAAGATAACCTGAAAAGAATCAATTTCATGGTGAATGCATCTGGTTAAGCAAGCCATTTAAACAACATTTTACTCGTGTGTAGCAGACCATTTTATAAGTTACTGATAGCTTTACAAGCCTGTGTTTCAGACAAGCTAATTGGTTGTCTCTGATGTGTTTGGGGCTTTCACTCATTAACTTGCCTTCCTGTCTAGTACATACTTGACTAGCTCTCATACATATAGGTAGAACTGTTTATTTATTTATTTTTTTTAAAGATTTTATTTATTTATTTGAGACAGAGAGAATGAGAGAGAGAGAGCACATGAGAGGGGGGAGGGTCAGAGGGAGAAGCAGGCACCCTGCCGAGCAGGGAGCCTGATGCGGGACTCGATCCCGGGACTCCAGGATCATGACCTGAGCCGAAGGCGATCCCGGGACTCCAGGATCATGACCTGAGCCGAAGGCAGTCGCTTAACCAACTGAGCCACCCAGGCGCCCTAGGTAGAACTGTTTAAACAGCCATATTCTATTGCCAGGAAAAAGTTTTTCATAGATAAGTTTCTTCCTACTTACAGTGTTTGCTTTACTGAAATTAAGGTAAATCATAACCAAGTATTATCGTAAGCATGGAAGGTGCAGAATCAAGTATAACACCGGAAAGGTGTTGGTATCAAAAACGAATGCCCTTTTGAAGGAGTGGAATAGAATTGATTACAGAAGGGAAAGAGAGGAGGGCAAAAGAAAAGGATATGCTGTCGAAACCTGGCTGCCTGTGTAATTAATGACTATGTTATAGATGTTATTGAAAAGTCGGAGGCCTGCACCTGCATGCAAAGACAAGTGTCTGATGCTTCTCTTTTTGCATATGTCAATGCTTTCCATTCTCTGAGATAAGAATTAGATGCTTTGTTTGGACACAGATTAAAGGAATAGCTCAAAACATGTGTGTCCTTTGGGTCTTGAGATTTCTGGAGTGGGTCTATTTTCCGTGAGGGGTTAGCTACTTTTCTGTTTGCAAAACAATTCATTGCAGCTGCCTGTAGGCATATGTATAATAGAGTTTAAACCAATTAGACCTAAGGTTTTGAAACTGTTCATGAAATCCCACCTCCTGCATGAAACCTTGGCCTGCTTAATTAAAAGGAGTGGCAACTTCTCTCCAGTGTTCAATTTCCTTCCTTTACTAACATTTTCATCTGAGATGAAATACTAAGAACGTACTTTGTTGCCCTTTTCATTTTAGTTTCAGCTCTTTACATTTGCTTAAAAATAATTAGTATCCTCCTAATGTCTGGCATTGTACTGGGTACATCAGAGAATACAAAAGAATTTTTTTCATTGTCTATGCCTTCTAGGAACTGAGGTCTTACACATGAAAAAATGAAGATTATCCAAATCTCTAGGTGCCCCTAACTCATTAATTTATACGATGATTATTTATAAAGCCTGTTTGAAGGAGAAAGTAGTGGCTCATGTAACTGAATTCATAATAGCCAAAACGTGGAAACAGCCCAAATGTCCAGCAGCTGATGAACATGGATGAACAAAATGTGGTGTGTCCATACAGTGGAATATCATTCGGCCATAAAAAGAAGTAGTCACACAAAACTTTATGCTAAGTGAGAGAAACCAGACACTAAAGGCCATGTATTATATAATTCCATTTATACGAAATGTCCAGAATAGGCAAATCTCTTAGAGTCAGAAAGTAAATTAGTGAGTGCCAAGGGCTGGAGGAAAGGGCAAATGGGCAGTGACTACTAATGGGTGGGGTGTTTCTTTTTCGAGTGGTGAAAATGTCCTGAAGTTTGATAGCCGTGATGATTGCAGGTGTCCATGAATATACTAAAAATCACTAATTTGTATGCTTTTACAAGGGTGAATTTTACAGTCTGCAAATTATAGCTCAATAAATGAAAAATAAATATCTGTAGAGCCGAATAAAAAGATGTTAAAGTGTGTGCTAAAGAAATGCAAAATCCAAGCAAGTGGTAAAGGAAATTCTTTAGAATCTTAGCAGCGGGTGTCTGCTTCTGAGAGTAGACCCATGAAATAGGTAACGATAACTTACATCCAGGAGCAAACAATCCCCTTTGAAGGCCAGAGGTTCTTTTTGATGTGGCAACTATTTTTATAAAGAGCCTAACTTGACAGTGAGTGACCCCAAAAATTTTGCCCTGGACATCTGTAGCTCCAGTCACGTTTCAGTCTAAAAACTGTTTGTGAAAAGCAGCTCAAGTTCAATGAGGTGAGAACCACGTGTGGAATGATAACCCATTTCACTTGGGATGGAAAGTTGTTTCCTTAATGGGAAAGTCTTTTTAACTCTGGAAAACTTAACATTAAGAGTATAAGAATGATAAAATAACAAATCTACAATATTAATACTTTCGTTTCAAGTATATATTACATTTAGGTCAACCTGGTACATTCACTTTGTAATTATAATTTAAGATGTATAAATTACTTCAGAATTGGCCTCCTATATAGAAAGGTTTGAGGGCCATGTGGGTGACTCAGTCAGTTAAGCGCCTGACTCTTGGTTTCAGCTCAGGTCCTGATCTCATGGGTCATGAGATCAAGCCCGTGTGGGGCTCCACACCCAGCAGGGAGGCTGCTTGAAGATTCTCTCCCTCTTCCCCTACCCCCACTCTTACACTCTGTCTCTCTCTAAAATAAATAAATCTGTAAAAAAAAAAAAAAAAAGTATGAGAATTCAGTTAAGCTTGTAAATAGTATTAGAAAGTACCGGAGCTTGAGAGGTGGCTGGGTGGCACAGTCAGTTGAGTGTTGGACCCTTGATTTCAGTTCAGGTCATGATCTCAGGGCTGTGAGATCAAGCCCGTACCAGGCTCCATGCTCGGCACAGAATCTGCTTGAGATTCTCTCTCTCCCTCTCCCTCTGCCCCTCCCACTCCTGTGCACACACGTTCTCTCTCTCTCAAGTAAATAAATCCTAAAAAAATAAAGAAGAAGAAGAAATACCTGAGCTTGAGAGTCATTGAATTTATAAATTTAATTTAAGAAATGCTTAAAGAGTTCTTGCTGGGGAAAAAAGATTACTTAACTACTTGAGGACATTTTGATTATTACAGTATAAATGCTGAAAAGGAAGATTGAATATATTAAATTTATAAATGGAGTTTTGAAATGTTTAAAAGTGGTTAATTAAACGAAGTTTATAAAAGGACCTAAACTGTATCCAACTTCCTGGATGTGTTGTTAAAACTTACCAGATATAGGGGCGCCTGGGTGGCTCAGTCGGTTAAGCATCTGCCTTCGTTTCAGGTCATGATCCCAGGGTCCTGGGATCGAGTCCCACATCGGGCTCCCTGCTCAGCGGAGAGCCTGCTTCTCCCTCCCCCTTTGCCTGCCTCTCTGCCTACTTGTGCTCTCTATCTCTCTGTCAAATAAATAAATAAAATCTTTAAAAAAAAAAAAAAAAACTTACCAGATATACAAACAGAATGATAAGCTTTTTAAATTGAATATAATAGCTTCAGGAAAAACTGGGTTTTAGACATTGTATATTTAGTAAATTGTACATTCCTTTTTAAAACTGCAAAGTAACAATAACTAGTATTGCTCTGCACTAAGAGCCATCCTTGAGGACACCAAAAGCTTGAAACAGACAGGTCTTGGACCCTGTGCCTTGGCTAGTTCTTGTTGCTCTTAGGAAGTGTCCACATAAAAGAAACCCAGGCTGATCACAGAGGGGTAAAAATACGGCTTTATGACCCTTCTGCCTGCTAGACTGTAGTCCAAAGCATCTGAAATTATGGAGCCTAGCCAGGTTGGAAAGGCCAACTTCTCTGGCCTCCTAAAGTATGAGTGGGGACGAGCTGGTCTAGCAAGTGTGGCCAGCCCCCCCAGACCCCTGCCGGGTACTGATTGTACCCCTGCTGAACAAAGCAGGAAGCTGCAAACGCGTTAGTCAGGGATTGGCAAATGTTTGTGAAGGTCCAGAGAGTAAATATTCTAGGCTTTGTGGAACATACTGTCTCTGTGGCAGTTACTCAACTTTGCCGTTGTAGCGTGAAAGCAGCCATAGACAAGTCAGTAAGCATGGCTATGTTCCAATAAAACTTTATTTGCCTGGGTGCTGGGAGGTAACCAGCGGTGACTACTGTGATTAAGGTCCCTTCTACCTTTAAAGTTTCTTCTACATTAAGGCTTCCCCTTGAGATGATAGGAGGACATCAGCTGGGTCTAAAAATATGAGTATTTGTAAGCCAATTCTTTCCACTTGTGGATGGAGGCACCTTCGGTTGGACGCAGAAGTTGGAGCAAAGGTCTGCATATGGGAAGCACTCCAGGTTCAGGAGGGCCAGGTAGACTCCCTGGAGTAGAAGAGATACTCTGCAGGAAAACTGGGTATCTTCCATTGGCCTGTGAACACAGGAAGCATCCATACCTAATTTCTGCCTCCCACAGTGGTTGTCTGATAAGCAAGCTTTTTGGCTAGGAGAATAAAACCTTCTAGGCATATCAAAAAGAGAAAATAGATGTAATTTGTTCTGTAATTCTGGGTTAGCAGATTAAGCCAAAAACAGGAATGCTTTTCAGATTCTAGCTCCTACCACCAAAGCAATGGGATCATTTTATTCAGCTCTTCTGGAACACACTAACTTCCATGCAGTGGAAGACAGGGTTTCGATACAATTATTGTCACAACATACAACATTCTCCACACATCAGAGATTACTGATTGGGCAAGAAGACTTCTAATAAGGGCGAGGCTTAATCACCAGTCATAACCTGCAGGCATTTGTCTGGTTTTTAATTATTCCAAGGTCAAGCAGGCTGCACTTTGCTTAAGAAAGAAGCGATCTTACCATAACTGCACTTTTATATTACACCTAACATTCTTGAAATCAGTCATCCATTATAAATCCCAAAGTAATATTGTGGTATTGGTTAAGATCAAGGTGTTGTTTTCTGGTCCCTTTCAGTACTCAGTAAAAAGTAATCAATATCTCTTCTGTGTCGCAGTATCTTTGGGACTATGGCAAATTGATTTTACTCGTATTATTTATTTCTGCCTTTAATGACATACTTAGTACCTTTCTAAGGATTTCAAAATCCTACAAGCAGCACAATGAAAAGGGGAACAGCTGGTGCTGCTCTCTCTAAGCTAACCTTTCTTTGAACAGGCTGCCAAGAATGCACTCTGAAGAATCTTAATGACGCCCTGCCACTTTATCTCCAGACCCCATCCTGGAGCCATGGTGTGGGCAAAGTTCTCTCTGACTTTGGTGAAGGTTACCAAGTTAAGCCTGTTCCATGAGCTTCTGCAATTAAGACCACAAAACCGGAAGGCCCCTTGGCACACTCACGTGCTTGACAACTAACTCTCTAGAAAGAAGAAAGTCTTGGTTGGTTGCACTTGCAGATTTCCATGGTTTAAATAAGTCAGACCCTGGCCAGTTTCGTGACTCATGGAATTTGATGTCCTTGTGCCTGGAGGTGGAAAGAGAAGGCGCACGATCAACATGTCAATACAAATGTTTCCCCCAGCGTGACATGGGACTGCAACGGGTGCATCTGCTCTAGTGATTCAAGTAAGGAGCTCAGGTGAAGAAGAGCCAAGTTCTGCTCCCTTTTTGACAGTCATGGACAATATCCTACAAAATTTCACTCACCACACAGGCTCTCTTAACATCCTATTAATTGGAGCCCTCGAGTACATTTATCATCTAGACCATACTTCTACCAAGGAGTTCAAAACCCAATGAACCTGTCTCAAAAAACATTATTCACATAGTTATTTGAAAAATACAGGCATGCAATGGACACGTTGTGGATTTAAAATGACAAGAAAGCTCCACTGGGTCAAGATAGTTACTGAGCCACTTGTCTTGCATCGTGCTCTTACTTGCCTGTCAGATCCCTCTGCCTACCAGATCCACAACTGCAGCTCTTTTTGCTGGCTCTCTGTGCTTTGCTTGTGTTCCTCATCCAGTGTCCCTGTTGTCTTGTCTTACCTGCTGATTGATCACTGTCAGTTTGAAGGAGCTGAAGTTGTCAGCCTGATGAGACTGATTCCTTTTCCAGAGATGAAGAAAGAACGTGCCTTTATTTCAAAAGTTTCTTTGAACAGTCTTCTACCAAGATACTTCCTTTTCAATTTGACCTACATTATCTTAATACTGCTCTCTCTCTTCATTTGAATCCATTGCTTTTCTTCCAGTTGAAGTATAATCAGGGTGCTATAAATGAGTGAAAAAGCCTTTAGTAAAGTGTGCAGTATTAAACCGTTTTTTATGGTCACTAAAAAGCCAGGGGTGAGGGGGCTTGTAATCCGCTAATACAGATGATGGGGACAGCCCCCCCTTTGGACTGTTGTCTCTGTTTTTTGTTTTGCAGTTTTCTGCTCTAATCAGTGGAACCCCACACATGGGCAGGTGCAGTGGGGCCCCTCACACCACCTTCACACACTCACCAGTTTCATCCAGGAAGTGGTGGTTGAATGAATGAAGTTACGGGAAGCCAACTGTCAGGACCCACATTTTCAAAGCTCCCTGTACTGATCTTCACCCTACGACAACCTACCACAACCACCCTCAAGTTGAGAGGAGTCCATTATAACCTGCTAGTTTTTTCCCCAGAGGGAATATGTGTGTTGTGGGTAGGTGAGGATCTAGAGAAGTACGTGCAGAAAAGATAGCCAGTTTCTATCTCCAGTGTGAAAACAAGCTAAATTGCCCCAAACAGGGCGAGAGATACCTGCATCAGTACCACCCCAGGTGAGGCATTTTTAGTTACAGCAATGACTGGTCGGGGCTAATGGCATCGAGGTCACCAGGACTAGGGGTGACATATCCTAAGATACACAGCACAGTCCCATGTAGTAAAGAATTGTCCCACCCCTGGCCCCCTTTTTAATGTCTTACAACACATTCATGTGGGTCAAAGCACTGTTTATAAGTATCTGGGCTTAGAACTTAGCCATGTGTCACATAAAAACACTAAGTCATCCCTTCTGGACTGTTCTCTCCCCTGCTCCCCAGAGTGTTTAAAGGAAAATGAGGCCAACTCTGGGCACACACTACTTACATGCTTTAATAACAAAAATAGGAAAAACAAGCAGTTATTGTTATAAATAAAATGATATTTGCAGGCTTTTAAAAGGGAAGACCATTACTGCAGTTCAGAAACTATTTATATGGCTTCCAGAAATTTAGTCACAATAGGTTTGCAAGAATTAAAATGAAATTTTTGCTTGTGAAGTGAGGGCAAGATAGGGAAATCGGTATCATTACATAACCCCGTTAGATGTCCTGCAAGTCGGAAAGGATTACTATTTCTCTACTCAAAGAAACATCAAGGACATCGCCTACCCGATTTCACAGCTGCTACAAATGTGAGCAGCAAAGCAATGGTGCCGAGCTGTCTCTGTTCTATTAGGACTCTACAGTAACTGTGATGTGGGAATCAATGGAATGCAGTCATGCACGTCATCCCACAGTCACCCCACAGTGAGTGAAGGAGGGTTCTGATGACATAGCCAAAATAGGTTGGCTGCTTATGGCGGCTTTGTTTTCCTATCTCTAGGGTGGACACATGGCCACTAACCAATGCCCACTCTCTTCGGCTAACCCGAAAATAGCCAGCTGACTACAGGTTGCCAGGCAGCTGGATTCTGAGGTCTCTAGAGGCCAGCGCGAAGCAGTCACCTCCTCCTCTTTCCTGCAGCTTCCAATGAAGCATAATATCTAAGCGGCTGATTAAGTATTCAAAACATATGATTTACATTGGTCAACCTTAAACACCTTATTCTTTAAAAGTATACATCAACAATATGAAAGAACAACAACAACAAAAAGACATGGTTGACAAGTCAGATGTGACTGTAATTTGTATCTTAATAATACAGAGGAGGTGAAATTTGAAGTTCAAGTTCATATGAGAAAACTAAGTGAAGGTGCACCTGAGTGACACAGTCAGTTAGGCGTCCAACTTCTGGTTTCGGCTCAGGGCTGGTCTCAGGGTCGTGGGATCGAGCCCCACGGGGGCCTCCACATTAGGCGCAGAGTCTACTTGAGATTCTCTCTCTCCTCCTCCTCTTCCCCCCACAGTTTCTCGTGTGCTCACACATGTGCACGCTCTCTCTCTCAAATAAGTAAATAAATATATATTAAAGAAAACTAAATGAAAATGTTAACCTAACTGGAAAAGTTCAAGTCAGAGCATGAGGTCTCCATCTTCCCCTCTCTTGTATTATCTGCTTTGTTTTTAGAAACCTGAAACTCTGGGTAATGAAAACTCTATGTTCTGGCAGCAAACAGTCACTCACTGTGCTTGAAACTCACTGAAATGCCAGACTAGTTTTACAATTGATATTATAAATGAAGGTTGGTGTGGAATCATTTGGATACCAGTTGGGGGGAGTATGGCAGGGTAAGTGAGATACCCACTTAGGTTACAGATGAGAAAATCTCAAGTTACACAGCCATGTTGGTCAGCTCAACACCATTAGGCTCCTTTATCTGGTGACCACCCTGTCATGGAACCTTCCATTTCCTCCTCATGTTTCGTATTCAGCAGGAACAACTTCAGAAACTACCGTCAGACATCTTTATTATCTTCCAAGTGTGCCTACGTGATAATCTATATTTTCAGTTGCCTAGAAACCAACCTAATGGGTGCTTAAAACCTTACTGGTTTTCTGTGTCTGGTCCGTATTGCAAAATATCACAAATTCTGTTCTGTGATTGCTTAAATCTAACATTGTTTTCAAATTAGCTGTTAATATGCCACCAGGATCAATTCTGTGAATTTTCAAGCGAACCATTTGAAGGAGTATTGTTAGTAACGTGCACTTACTGTGTTAGTCTTTTTCTTTATTCTAATATTGAATTTTTTGGCA